TAGGCGCAGCTTAGCTCATCACAAGGCGGTTTTGCAACCATATTTCAACTCTTTCGAAAGAAAAAAGTTGCCGCTAGACAATTGTCAATTCTGGCAACTATCTTCAAAGCTCTTTACTGTCTTTCGCAAGACTAATTGACAGATCTGCTAACGAAGGGGTATTAGCGTTATGCTGTTCGCCTATTAGCAATCAGCTTTTCAAAAAGTAAATTAAATTAAAAAAAATATGTACATATGTGTATTTTTATATCTAAAACAATAAAAACTAATAAAAAAGAATTAAATTTGAAAAAAGAAAAAAATTAATATATAAGCATATACTTTGCTTTTTAAAACAATAAAATTTAAAACTTAATAAAAGAAAAAGAAATTTAATAAAAAAAGCAAAAAAGAAATAAATAAGTTTCTAAAAACTAAATGATATTATTAAGAAAATATCTTTTTTTTTAACAATAAAATCTAAAACTTTAAAGCAAATTGAACTAAGAAAGGAAAAAAAAGAACAAAATAAAATAAGTTCCTCAAGATTAAATGAAATCAAAAACAAAAAAAAAATATCTAAAATAAAAAATACATAAAATGAGGGTAAAAAATTAAACGAAATTAAAAAATATTTATTTTTCTTTTTGAACCATAAAATATAGAAATTATAAGAAAATTTAGTTAAAAAAGAAATATATTTAAATTTAAAAAACAACAAAAGTTCCGCTACCCACGAGTGGTGATTGAGAGAGCTTTTTTCTAAGACTTCTGTGCTGGAATAAAGAAAGTCCTTCGAGCTAATCTGTCATGTGCGTTTCGTTTGTCTTACGAAAGGCTTTTTACTATCTTAGCTAGAATTGCCCTGATAGTTTGTGCTACATTTAATCCATTTGATATTATGGCAAAAAGCGCTACTTTAAAAGTCATCCTTCCTTATTATGGCCCTTAATAATAATTATAATCCAGTTGGATAGCTTATTATTTACTTAAATTTCAGCAAATCGGACCATAAATACGATTTTTTTCCTATAGATCGATCCCTGGTATATAACAACCTTCTTTGGGTATTTTCCACCAATTCATTCAAATTTCGTTTAAATCGACTCCGCACAAAGATCACGGCAACAGTCTTTTTTTTATTTGTATGAATGTATATAAAAAATATGTGAATTGTATAGGACCAATTCCAGCTGAAATCGTGCAAACCGACTGCGCCTATCTCACCGAATCACTTGAAATTTTAGTACATTATTCTACTAGGAAAATAAGCGCATACGTGTTTTTTTATTGGTCGATATCATCAAAATTAAATACGTGTTTCATGCACTTTTGAAAAATGACTAAAAATTTTCGATCCTACAAATCGAAATTTTTTTCGTTCTAATTCGAATTTTAATTGGTATTTGAAAATAATTAACTATCTATTCCATGCTATGGCTGACGTTCCTTCGATCTGCCACTTTTAAATTTTTTCTTTACAAAAAAATAAAAATGTAATTGCACTTTTCATAAAAAATTAAAAATCAATTCCACATCCGCAAAAAACAATTTTCAATTTTTCTGAATTTTTGTGCGCAACTTTCAACCATCGGTTGGATATACTACAGTCAGAAATTCCGTCCAGATCAACAATTTTCGGGCACATTTAGTAAAAAAAAACTTTAATAGAAATTTTGTAGAGAAAAAAGTGAAAAATCGCGCCTCAAATCTTTCTTTCAGCCCAAAAAATTGATATAAAGATTTGCTGTAGAAACAGTTTTAGGTCTTCCCAAGATAGCTTTCGGCATGCTCTATAGACTCACAATTTTTTATAAAAATTGTACAAAACCTTTATGAGAAATTCGCGCTTTAAGCTTTCTAGACAAGAATACACCGGTCGTACGAACTTTTTGCAAACAAAGTACAATTACGACTACAGTAGTCGTAATCTTTAAATTTTAGGGATAACAATTAAAGTATTCACAATCGAGCATGTTATAATTACAATTACGGTAATCGTAATCCTAAGTAATCAAAATGTAATCGTGATCATAAAGTGCCCAGCTCTGAGCGATACTATCCTCTCTCAATGTATGATTGACTAACATAAATAAATACCTACATAATAATCACGATCCAGGAAATAAAGGTCGCGCCATTCGCGGACCGCTAACCCTCTCTTCGTCGATTTCACAGCATCCACCCAATCGCTGACGTCATAAAATACTTTTGTTTACATTCACTGTTGCCAACTTGATGCTTTTCGCGCCAAATTTAGTGGGTATTCAAAACGCGAAAATTTTTGAGTTTGGTGCTTGGTGCGTTTTTGGTGCTTATGTTTTTAGTTTGAAGACACCAAATTAGATTTATCAATCGTAAGCGTGGTAAGCAACTTTACAAAAAATTTTTACAAAATCATGGCACAGTGACATAAGAGTCAGGCCACGTCAAATGAGCCCATGAAATTTTGGTCATTTTCTGAAAAGTGACAACTATTGCTAAAATTTGTTCATCATAGTATTACAAAAAAACACTTTGAACCGTTTCTCGAAAAACCGCACCGTTTTTTTTATTTTGAATAATAATGATATTTGCAACTTTCGATTGAAAAATTAATAACTTCCGACTCGTTTGCTATAATTGAGTGAAATTTTTTTTGACAGTTAATAAGCGTTTTCTCTTTCTGAATAAAATTTTTCCCAAATTATATTTGCAAATTTATAATTTTTTCGTTAACAATTATTTAAACAAATTTGATTTTTTATAGCTTCTAGGCCTCAGATCACAGTGAAAATTTTACACAATGTAGTATAAATACTTGTTTTCGTTCTCGAAAAAGAAAAATTTGGTACTTCGCACTCTGACAGTATTGAAAAAAAGTTTTTGACACGGGCGCCGCGTAATTATTATCGCCTTGAACGTTGCGGGCGGTGCATGCGGCTGACGCTATAAACGCGGCTGCTTAAACTTACTTGTCCGCACTCAACGCGATCGTCATTTGTTTGTGCACGTCTAAACAAGCCACAATTTCAACGCAGAAAGTCATTAACGCAGCTTGTTGTGCAACAGAGTTTCTTTCTTTACAAGCTTATTTCAAATTTGATGCGTAAGTATTATTAATATGTTCATATTCGTTAGTTAGTTAGTTTGGATTTCGCTGAAAACTATACGTTTCACATTCAAAACGCAATCCAATCGCACCATTGGACAAATAGCCAAGCAGAACATGATTTGCACGATAAAAAATTCGAAAAACGTTATGATATAGTTCCTTTAGTAAAAAATACTCGCCAGTATCATCAACTTGAAGTTGTAAATGGAACAACTGTTCGTTGCAAGCTTTTTTCTTGTGACACTTCTTCGGTCACGCATGTTATTGCATAAAGGCTTGAGTGTATGTACCGCTTGTTTCTCGACTAAGTTCTACTATCAATTGCTTTATTATGTACAATAAAAAGAATTATAGATGTACTTGTGTGATTATTAATAAATATTGCATGTAAACACTTTTAAAGAATTACTTAAGATAAAGAACGAATTATTTCTTAATTATAATGCCCTACTATATTATGCGTGAGAAATTATATTCAAAACTATTTTAAAATAGAAAGAAAATCAGTTCATACATATTCTAGAGATGTATGAGTGCGGACAAGTAAGTTTAAGCAGCCGCGTTTATAGCGTCAGCCGCATGCACCGCCCGCAACGTTCAAGGCGATAATAATTACGCGGCGCCCGTGTCAAAAACTTTTTTTCAATACTGTCAGAGTGCGAAGTACCAAATTTTTCTTTTTCGAGAACGAAAACAAGTATTTATACTACATTGTGTAAAATTTTCACTGTGATCTGAGGCCTAGAAGCTATAAAAAATCAAATTTGTTTAAATAATTGTTAATGAAAAAATTATAAATTTGCAAATATAATTTGGGAAAAATTTTATTCAGAAAGAGAAAACGCTTATTAACTGTCAAAAAAAATTTCACTCAATTATAGCAAACGAGTCGGAAGTTATTAATTTTTCAATCGAAAGTTGCAAATATCATTATTATTCAAAATAAAAAAAACGGTGCGGTTTTTTCGAGAAACGGTTCAAAGTGTTTTTTTGTAATACTATGATGAACAAATTTTAGCAATAGTTGTCACTTTTCAGAAAATGACCAAAATTTCATGGGCTCATTTGACGTGGCCTGACTCATAAGCGACAACAAAATATGTGGCAGCACCTTCAATCATGCCAGAAGAAATAGGACGTCGTGCAAGAAACATTGATTTTTATTAATTTGAATCGGAATCCTTACAATAAAATAATGTATGTATATAAAGTCCATAAAATATACCAATAAAAATTTGGTGCTTTTTCAAATTCAAAACTTGGCAATACTGCCGTTTGCTCGATGCTTCCTCTTTTTCTTGTCGAGTTCGTCTTGTTCTCTCATTCTGGTATTTTTTGACGTCACGGCCAGTTGTTCCCAGCTCGATTGGCGCAATCTTGCAGAATAATCAGCTGATGAATTTGGTACGGCAGCTGAATAGTTTTAGATCTCGACACTTAACAGCCTCCTGCTTTTCGTGACTCGGCGCAAAAATGTAAGCAAAAAAAACTCAGTGCGTGTAGTCCCTACGCGCGGAAGAAGTGAAACTTAATAGAGGAAATTCCAGAAAGAAAGAAATGTGCAATATACATACACATGTAAATTTTTTCTAATATACAAAAAACATATTTATTTAAACTTTTTGTTAACAACCTTTAATTTTTTATTTTTTATAACCAACTACAAAGTTTAATTATTATTTGTGGCTGCAGAGAAAACATGCATATCTACAATATTAACCAGTATCCCAATAAATCGAAAAAAATAAAGGATTTCCATTTTGTGTTTCGAATTGACGCCAAGCTTTTAACGAATAACGATAAATCCCATTTGACTGAATTTCTTGCTCAATAATTAAAAAATCGAACTCAGAAAGCTTTGTTACTAATCAAGAATTTATTTATAGTACACTAATTTAAACTATATACATATACATATAGCAAGTGAGTGGAATGTGTATTCACAATAACTACATACATACACACATAATTATGTATGTAGGTGTCGTCTACATTACTAAACATTACTAAATTACATACTCATTTTATTAAAAACTTTTATATTTACAATAATTGCGAGATTCTTTTCTCTACTAATTTTAATTATACAAACATACGAGTACTTATTATGTACATATGTAGTTGTAAGAGCTAAAATTAATGGAACTGAGAAACACATACTATGTATCAGTAGAATATTTTGATTTAAGCAGTACATTTAGCACAGTTGCAATATAAATACATAGCTTGTTCGTATGAAGGTACATATGTACATACGTACATATGTGCATTTATTTCAAATATCATACGATAATAAGTACTACAGCACAGAGGCGCCCTCATAGGCAGAATTTTATCCTAAAATTTATCTAGAGGCTAGTTCTATAGACTAATGGATATTAAGCATATGTACATAGTATTCTACATACATATACATACATACATACATATATGTATATGTACATACTTGTTTTGTTTAGGTGCATATTGATTTTGCTTACATTTGGTTCCTATTAAAATACGACAATTATTTACTAATTAAAATCACTAATTGCTGCAAACCAACAAATCAATTACAAATGCAATTTTAAACAGAAAAGCATGTTGACGTGTGTGCGTATCTACTCTTTCCGATTACTGCCGCTGGGTGGAGCGAGCTGTGGGTTGCATGTTCACCCACCGTTCAGACCATAGCCAGTCCTTTGTTGATGCTTTCCAAATGCTCTTTCGCTTTGATGCGCAACGTTGCTATAGAATTGGAGCGTATATCCGCTGTCTGCGGTTGACTTGCCGAAATTGGCGACTGCCGACTGATGGCATTGGCGGATACATTGCTGCTCAGCGCATGACCAGGCGGTGGGCTATCCCGTCCCACATCAAGCAATTCCATGCTGGCTGCTGCACTGCACTTGCTACTACCATTTCCATTGCCGCCATTGCTGCCCACGAGCATGGCTTCATTTGCATCGTTATTTGTGGTGAGATTTTGTGGTGACTGCTCCGAATTAGTTGCTGGAGTGGCGCGTGGTGGTGGTGGTGATGACGAATTGAGCGCGGTTGCAGACGAAGCGGCTGCTAGAGGTGGCGGCAGCGCAGATATGCTGGACGACAGCGGCGAAAGCGCTGCTAAGCCCACACCGCTCGAAGGAATGGACGCTGGGGCGACAGCATTCGCAATCGCTGATGTCATAGATGACGATGATACGGACGATGACGATATGGACGATGTTGGAGTTGATGAACTCAGCTGTGGTGGCATTGTGGCCAAACTCTGTGGTGACATGCGTGACAGATGTGGTGATAAATGTGACAATTGTACATGATGACCAGGGTGGCCAGCAGCGCTTAGTACCGATGGCGGTGGTGGTGCACCTGGATGACCGGTGTGAGGTGATGGATGCATAGCCGGGCCATGTGGCCCATGACCCATGGCTGCCAGGCTACTCATAGTCAAATTGGATGGAGCCAAACTAAGTGGGGGCGTCAAATAGCTGGGATAGACGGTCTGCGGGTGCGAAAGGAAACCTGCCGAAGGACGAAGTTGGATGTGAATAGAGAAAAACTTGAATGTGAATTAAAAAATAGTAAAGTGGTACTTAATTGAAGGAGGTAAATTCGATGATAGTTACCTGGCAGAGCCGAAAGTAGTGGCGGCGATAGCCAAGGATCAACCGGCAGTCCGCCGGCGCCGCAACCAAGACGATGTGGCAGTTGAGTGAAGTGAGTGAGGCCCAAGCGGAGGCTTTCCGATTTCTCCTGGCGACGCCATTTGGCGCGTCGGTTTTGGAACCAAACCTGAAAAAGAGGAAAAGTTTGAGTTTATTATTTTATTGTAAATCATTTTAATTTTAGATATTGTCAATAATAACACAGTGCAACAGGATTTTTGCAGGTTAGTTAAACAAGTTCTTGTTACGGCCATTTTATATTTGGAAATTTTTCGTTTTAGTCAAATTGCACGAGGAATAATTCTGTAGGATATTTTAAGCCATTATCTCTCTCAAGAAAGGCGATTTTGACCCTATTTTTGGAAAGTCTGCTTAAAATGGTATTTGGGTGGTCACTATGGTATTTGGGTGGTCCCTATGGCAAGAACAGGAGATTTAAAAATTTTGAAACCATCTTGAAAATATTGTAGTAATTCATTAAAATTAATTGAATTTAATTTTTAAACGCGTGGCAACCCTTCTAAAACACCTTAATAATATTCTAAATCTTCAATCTGAAGGTCTCTTGACAGCCATTCTTTTTTAAAGTTTTTCATACAGCTTGCGTATAACTAATTTAAATTTGACTTTTCAAACAGCTGGAAACCCTTTTTAAAATATTTTGAAATTACAAACTTTTTAGGGATTTTTCGTGTGACAAACATATGTTTAAGCAAATTTCAAATAAATAATTCCCTACATTCAATTTTTGTAATTTCTTAAACAGGTGGCAACCCTCCTCCATGAGTATGGAGTTGATTTTATATATCTCCATATCAAGTTCCAGTACTCTATCACAAATATTGTTTGTGATATGCAGTATGAAAAATAGCGTTTGCATGAGAGGTGCCACGCCCCTTTATCTAATCAAGATTAAATCCACCCTATATTTTAAGTTGGGCTAAATGGCGCCATTGTACAAAATTTCATGATGCTAGGTTGAGGAGTTAACGCGTGAAAGCATAACAAACAAAAAAAACTCAATTTCGGATTCATAATATTAGTAAGGATAATTTTATAATAATTAATAATTATTATCTCCAAGCGAGAACATAAAAATCATAAAATAATCTTGAAGAAAATGAGGAAGCAGACAGGCTCGCCAGGGAAGCGACCTGAGCCCTTCTTTGCAGTACGACCGCACATCATCAAAAAAGCGGATAGGAGAGAAGAAAGAGTAAATAGAGAACTGAACTGGAACCAAGTCACTGGGCAGCGCCAGGCAAAGAAACTATTGGAGGGATATAATACGAAAAGATATGAAAAACATATTAACCTCTGAAATAACAAATTAATAACTTTAACAGGTATCATAACAGGTCATTGCAGATTGAGAAGTCACCTACAAAAACTTGGGATCTGGTCCACTCATCATGCCGTTTCTGTGATAGGACTGCCGAAACTTCTGGGCACATAATCCTCGAATGCGATGCAGTGGCGAGGAGACGAAAGAAATGCCTAGGGTCACTAAGTTGTAAGGGTTGTAAGGAGAAAGAAGGCACAATAGATCTCTTGGTCGCAGTACATTCCTCAACTGAATATCTAATAATTATTTTCGTTGAGCGAAAAATTTAAACTCAACAATAATTATTATTTTTATGCGAAACAAATAAAATTCATAAAATAATGATTAAATGCTAATTTAAACTATTTTACTCATAACGATTACCGTTTCTGATATTTATGAACAGCAAATAAAAGTTGTTGCGTATTTCAAGGGGGCATATATATTCGTCGGCCGCTGTGGTGTCGTGGTAAGCACTGCGCGCTTTCACTCATCAGCACCTGGGTTCAAACCCTGGTCAAAGCAACATCGCAAAAAATATAGAAAAAGGTTTTTTCTTAACAGCGGTCGTCCCTCGGCAGGCAATGGCACTCCTCCGAGTGTATTTCTGCCATGAAAAACGGCTTCTCATAAAAATACAAACGCTGTTCGGAGTCGGCGTAAAACTGTAGGTCCCTCCGCTTTGTGTGACAACATAAAGGCGCACACCACAAATCGGAGGAGAAGCTCGGCTAAACACTAACATATGTGTAAGCGCCAATTTAAAAAAATATATATATATATATATTTATATATAATTACCTAGAATATGTTAACCCTTTAGCGACCACTCAAACGCCAAAAGACCCATTCGTAAGAGAGCGGGTAGGTTAAAATGTTCTACAAAATTATTCCTTGTGGAATTTTACTCAACCAAAATAACATATTTTGCTCTACGTATTGTGAATTTAACCCCTTTTCACTTATTGTAAAAACACTCAGGCAAATTAGGCCTCTCATTCTTGCGTTGGAATCATACCGCCCCTAGACAATGACTCTGAAACTTTTGCAAAGTGTAATACATAAATACGTGGATAAAGCATAACTTTTATAACTAAGAATGCTTGAGGTATATTTATTGCAATTTTTTATAATTTTTTCCTTTATTTAAATACAAATTGCGAAAGATGCAAAATGTAGCAACAATAGGAGAAAATCTGACCGACACCCGCCCTCATCCACACAACGCCCGCACTTAATTGCATTTCAACGAGCTTAATTGCTACAACAACACTGAAATACTTTTATAACACCAGCGTAAGATAAAACAAAATGGCGCCGCTGCTCATTAGTAAAGAAAAAAAGCTGTACACATAAATAATTAAAATGAAAGCACACAGAAAGTATGGCAGCACTGACACATACATAAACCTACGAGAGCGAAACGACACGGAATCAAGAACAAGAAGCAAAGAGCAAAAGACAAAATTCAATTAGTGCTTCAGCACTAATTAGAATTATCGCAACAATGAGAGTATGAAAGATATAGTAGTACGAGTATAAGGCGACTTAAGCGACCAACAAGCAGGACGAGCCGAAGGATGTTTGCAAAAAATGGAAGGCAATCGAGATAAGTGGGTGGTGGTAGTACCTACCTATGTACATACGCATTGTGGCAACTCTGCGACTATGAACAGACACACCGAAAGTAACGACTGACTAATTGGTGCGCTCTGACATAATGAGAGAGCGAATTGGCGGTTTGTGTAAATGGCTGCTGTGGCGTTAACAAAAAAAAAGAGAATATGTGGGTGTGCGCGTGAGCTTGGCGAAGTGTGAGAGCAGAGAAACTGGGTTTCTTTAATTCAATGCGAATGGTCGTTTAACCTCACAAACCACTCCCCACTCCCCCTCCCATGCTGCAGTTACAACTCATTGCGCTGCGCATCCAGCAGCAGGCTGTCTAGAGTTTGACGGTTGTAGACTCGCGCACAAAGTAATTATATACAATTTACGCGAATTAATAGGAATTATAATGATGGAAATTTAATTTCTGACGCTGTTGAAGCTGACAACTTATGATGATGAATGCTGGAGAGGTGAAAGAGCGGCAAAAATGTATGTTTTTGCGTTAAACGGACATATCTTGCGAGTAAAATAAGTGAAATAATCGACGAATTTTGTGTGGGCTGGGAAAATTAATTAGAAAAAAATTGTATTTCTTAAGTCTCTAATAAACAGAGAAAGGATTTTATGGAGGTTGAATTTTTTTACTGCTAAGAGATGGAATATTTTCGATTGCAAATGACCTCGATTTAGCTTTTTCTGATTCCACAAAATTAATATATTAAAAATTGTGTAAGTTTTGTTCAGAAGCGGCTTATAGAAGCGCAGCGCCTACTGCCAAAATTATGTTGGAAGAAGTCAATGCCGTTTTTTTCAGCCATCGAAGGCTGGGATACAAATAAGGAGCGGGGATCAAAAAGTGACGCGTAACAACAAAAAATATTGATTTGATAGGAAGCATTGAACTGACCATAATAACGGCATTCATTATTTTTGACTGAAACAACAACTACAAAAGTTATCAAAGGACAAACATAGAACTTTTCCAATATCACAAAAAATTTTTACATCTTGTAAAGTTTTCCCAAAAATCGTGCACAATTTTCATATAATGACAATATTTATAGTACCTATTTAGTTTATAAAATTTTTCGTTTTCCTTGTGAAATACAAATGTACATCGTTTTAAATAAATGTGTCTTTTTTAAGTTCGTGGTTTGGTTTGGAATTTTCTCTGTTTTTTGGTCTGTCTTACTCTTTTATCTAATAACTTTTTAAAGAGACAAACCTTTAGTCTTAACAAGTCATATGTATTTTTACTTGGTATAATAACTGATCTGCTCTTGTAAATTAGTAATACTTCCTTTTTTAAATTGAATCTTATAAAAAAAATTGACGTAATTTAGTCATTGATAGGTGGCTTAGGCTGTACGTGTACTTTCCTTAGCGTTTTCGAAAATAAACATAAATAAACGTAAACGCAGAGAAAAAGTTGCCACCTAGAAAGGCACGCTGCGATCGATTGCAACGCGAACTATGTGGGACCCATATAGGGATCTGAAGAGGAAAGCGAAACGTATTTGCCGCAAAAAGAAGAAATATGCCAAAGTACATACGAGACTGAGAAGAGTTTAAAATGCTGGCCGACAGGAAAAACGACAGAAAATTTTGCTCGAAATTAAAGCGGCTTATCGAGCACTTCAAGACCAGGGTGAACTCTTGTAAGAACAAAAATGGCGACCTAGTAACCAATGGCCAGTACATACTTAAACATTGGAAGGAACACTTCTCTACCCTGCTGAAATTCGTTGCAATAAGTAGAGAAAATAAACCCGAGAGACGCCAGTCGAGGCCGACGGGGTCCAGAATATGACCAGGCACTAAGTTAAACAAGCTGTTGTTTGGGCGTTATTAGTTCAGCGAGAGGAGGATAGACACATCTCTTTTTCGATTTCAAAGCCGCTTACGATAGCATGCAAGAAGTTGCCTATACGTCACAATGTTATCCTTGCGTAACTTTCACCGCCAGCTCGTCCTCCTCTCCGCGCCGCTTTATATCAAACCGGGTTTTAGACAGGGTGACTTTCTATCTTTAATCTTCTGCTAGAGAACAAAATAAGAGCTACCCAATTAAATAGTTCAGGTAAAATTTTCTAGCCCTGAAAGTTTTCGGTGCGCTATCTAAGGAAAGCACTTTCTGCGTAGGAAAGATCAGGTGGAGAGGAACTTTAGCTACCGAGAAGGAGGGATGACTGGCG